ACTTGTTATGAAATAAATTCCATTTGGCCCTGGGATGATAATCAAGCAAAGAAATGGGCCTCACAGATCAACTGCAATTTAACCCTTTAACTTCCAAGATCTGATTGTTAATTCTCCCCTCTGGCTGCTACACATTTCCTTTCAACTTTATATATGGAGAATTTGGTGTTACATCAAGACAGCAACTGCTATCTGATAAGTCTGAGTATTCTTATAACCTCTTTGCTACATAGTGTAGGAATATTAGAAGGAAAATTCAATGTCAATCACTTGTGGGAGTTAAAAAGGTTGATCAATTGCAGAAAAGAAGTCTGAATAAAATTCAGGCTTTGACAGGATTTGAACCTGTGCCTCCCAGGTACTACATGTACACCGTAACAGTAACTGTAGTTCAGTGCTCACAAGCATTCGTCTGTAAATGTTTGTGGATCCCTATGTAAACTGATTTATTACACGACTCCGGCAGTCAGAGGGCCAATAACTAAATTTAACCGATCAAAAATGCTCCATTGCCGGTCAATATTCTCTCAATATTGGACTGGACACTGTCCACTGATACCGCACTTGTGTTCCTTTGAACTTTAGTCGCATAATAAATCTCTTATTAACCAAGCTTGCTCGGGACCGTACTGGAAGAATATCAGCCCTCGGTCTTTTTTGTACGGACCAGGATCTTGGGCCAATATTCTCTCAGTACGGCCCTCGCGCTTGGTTAATAAGATATATGCATTTGTCTTTGTTGTTGTACTCTGATAGATTATTTGGCCTTGTGGGAATAATAAACACAGACTGTAGGGGTTACAGTTTTAGGACTACAGTTAGGGTTATTTTAATTACATGCTTTAAAGTTAGAGTTGTTTCATTTACATGTTTATTTATATTTTAATTTAGTTTACTTTCTAAGTTGTTTAATCACTGTGCAGTTAGACCTGAGTCAGTCGATTTTATATATGAAACAGTAGTGTAAATGCAATCCATGTGGGAGAGTTTTAGTGGTTACACAAGATATGCTCAGTAGTGTTGATTAAACTGCGCATGAGCATTTGTAGTGTATGTAGTAAAAATGTGGTGTAATAGTCACGAAAAATATGGAATATAATTAAAAATAGGAACTTTATTTATAACAAATTCACTCCACTAGAATACACAGAAAATAATATAAATTACAATTAAGGTTAACAATTTATCTGCTGTGACTTTAGTCTTTAATGTTCCTGTCGTCGGATTCTTGTAATTTCTCCTCCCATTTTCTACAATCAGCACAATCACACGGATTAGGCTTCAAAGATTTCTTGTAATAATATCTTACAAATGCGAAAAAAGCTTCCATGACGTGCGCTCGTAATTTTTCTTCCTCATCTATTTCCTTTAGTCCTGCTATGTAATCTTTTGTGTGATTCTTGACCTGTCTTAAATCATCTTTGTCAGCATGGAATTCCCCTATATCTAGCAAATCATCCAAGGCGGTGGAGGCCATTTTGGAGTTGTGTATGAAGTCAGGATTAATAATTGATCTTCTTCCAAGGTTATAATCTTAAGACTTACCTTCACCTTTTTTTAAATTCGGTTAAAACAACAATTCCACAAGGAGC